GTGTGTGTGTGTGTGTGTGTGTGTGTGTGTGTGTGTGTGTGTGTGTGGATGCAGCCTGTTCCCAAGTAATTTACTATCTACTTGAGTAATAAAACATGTCCACAAAGAAGCAACATGTGAATTTACAATGTAATCAAGGGCAAAAGAGAAATATAAAATCTGACAAATTGAATCAAGTGAGAGAGAAGGTTGAATCAGTCAGGGAGGGCATTGGAAAGAAGGGAGCACTAAACTGGGCTTTGAAAGATGGGTGGAATACCAAGATGTGGAGGTGCAGAGTGGGAGGAGATAACTGGGCTGGAGGGAGAACATCAACATCTGAGGTGCAGCGACCAATGTGAGGCAACGGGTATATATGGGAGAGCAAGCAGCACATTCCAACTAGATTGTAGATTATACAAGGGGCAAGAGAGATGAAGGAAGGAAAGGAGGAATGCAGGGAAGGAAGAAAACGAGAAAAGAGGAGAGGAGAAAAATTATAGAGGGTCTTAAAAACAATATAAGCTTTATCCCCAGGCACTATGGAGTGATTGGTGTTTTTTTTTTGTTTTGTTTTGTTTTTTATATATTTTTTTTTAATTTTTGAATGATGGCTTGTTTTGGTCAGTCTTAGTTTTCAAAAGATTCAATTGGAGTAGTATTGGATGGGCAACAGCAAAACTATGGTTTGGGGGACTACTTAGACACTGAAATTGAGTGGTTTCAGTGGCAGGGGGAATGATAATGGGAGGCTAGATGATACAGATAATTTAGAGAGAGAATTAATAGGATTAGGCAGTAAACTGGGTATGTAGGCTGAGGGAGAGGAAAGAGTCAAGGATGACTCTCATTACTTAATAATTGTGTTTCAACTGAGGCATTTCTAAGTCCAAAGGCACTAAACATTTATTTGGGAGCATTTTTTCCTCTTGCTTTTGTTATTATTTTTGAATGAAATTATTTAACAACTGTTGTAGCAATAATAATTTTTTTTTAATTTCTGATGACCCAGGGGTATCCATTGGATTCTAGAAATTAGAGTTATGTCCTCCATAAAGGATCCGTTTTGCTAGGGTGGTTCTCATCTTTCTTCTTTACCTTGTTTGCTCTCGTAGTAAGCTGGATTTTTGTTCTTGTTTTTATGGTTTGGTGTGGATTGTAGGAAAAAGCCATTTGTAGGATCAGCCTAACTGAGAGCTGCAAAGGGTCCTGGAAAGGTTCTTACCCGTCATCTAGTCTAATCCTCTCTTTTTACAGAAGAGGAACAATGGAAACCAGTAGTCAGTCTGAACAGATGGAGGATGAATGAATTTTCCTTCTAACCCATTGTAATAACTCCTGAGTGCTAGCTTGAGCACTGCAAATGGCTGACTTCTGAGAGTGTCCATCCAGGATGACTCCAGAGGGTGGTAGTGGTGGTGATGGTGATGAGATTAAGTGACTTGCCCAGGGTCACACGTAAATGTCTAAAGCTATATTTGTCTTTTTTTCTTTTTTTTTCTTTTTTTAGGCAATTGGGGTTAAGTGACTTGCTCAGGGTCACACAGTTAGTAAGTGTCAAGTGTCTGGTCTGAGACTGGATTTGAACTCAGGTCCTCCTGACTTCAGGGCCAGTGCTCTATCCACTGTGCCACCTAGCTGCCCCCTCTAAGGCTATATTCGAACTTGGATCTTCCTGACTCCAGGTCTAGCATTCTGTGCACCCCTTAGCTGCATCTTCGCTCTTCAAAAAATAGAATGGGACTCTGGGGAGTCAGAAACTTTTCTATGGGTATCTTAGTAAGTGCCCTAAGTTAAGCAAAACTGATAATTCTCGGATCCAGATCCCTGGCCTTAAAGACATAGTTATCAAGCTTCCCTCCAAGTAATTCAGATCTGTATGACTTGTCAGAGGGCCCCATCTGGTCAGGTGCCCTTTATCTTCCAGTTTCCAACTGGACAGTTCTAATTGAACACATGTTTACTTGTTCCTAAAACTCAAGAAGGAGCATTCCTCCTTTACAAGACCTAAAACATTACAAATTCCAGATGGCATTCTTCACTCTTCAAGAGAAGTGCTTTTCCTGGAGGAAAAGGGTAGAGAACGATTATTTTGGAAAGAATTGACCTAGTAACTCCTGTGAGAAGTATGGGGAAGTTAGAACGTTTTCCCAAAATAATTGTTTCCTTAAGGAGCAAAGCATGTTTGGACCTTGGGGGCGAACTGGAGGGATGAAATTTCTTAGCTTTGCTGCATGTGTTTCTCTGATATTTCTGTGACTTTAAACCCTTATGTAAGTTATTTTCTTGCTTTTTGAGAAATAGACACATTACTAAAAAAGAGAAACAAAAGATTGAGAGCCACACTCCCACACTGCCTCCTCACCATTCATCGGACAAGTAAAAAACACTTTGCTAATGGAAGTTATATGACGGGAATGAGGCCTTTGCTTGTTGGCACTTTCTCAGCCACTTTATCTTAGAGCCTTGGGCTGTCTGGGGTCCTCAGAAGGTGCAACTTTTCCAGGGTTACGCAGCCAGTAGGAGGTTTGCTTTGTTGTTCAGTCATTCCAGTCATGTCTCACTCTCTGTGACCCCATTTAGGGTTTTCTTGGCAAAAATACTGAAGTGGTTTGCCATTTCCTTCTCTAGCTCATTTACAGGTGAGGAAACTGAGGCAAATAGGGTTAATTGACTTGTCCAGGGTCCCCACACTAGTAAGTGTCTGAGGCCAGATATGAACTTGGGTCTTCCTGACTCCAGGCCCAGTTCTTTATCCACTGCACCACCTAGCTGCTCAATAGATTCAGATTCTACCTCTGCTGCTTACCACCTACGTAGGCCTGGTCACACCCCAGGTGTCAGTCTCTTCATATATAAAATAGGAAGATTAGACTAAGTGTTCTCTGAGATCCCTTCCCTTCTAGCTATGTGATTTCAGAGCCAATAAACTTAGCACAAGTTTATATAATATATAGAAATTCTTTAATATAAGGTTTAGATTTGAAACTGAGGGAGCATTGCCAAACAGAAAGCTATACTTCTTGATTCAATAGATATTAATCAAGCCCTTAATATGTTCCAGGCACTGTGCTTAGGTACTGGACATACAAAAACAAAAACAAAAAAAAATTATTTCCTGCCCTTAAGAAACTTACATTCTTTGAGGTGACTCATAAATTTGTTTCTCATTTTTTGTTTTTTCTCAAACCATCTTGCAGCATGTGATAATATCCTAAGACCAAGAATGATTGGGAATAATAAGTTCATCTCACTTGATGCATTGAGTGAGTTCTTGTAAAAATGTTTGAAAAACCAAGCCTTGTATGTTGAATCATGTTTCCACAATGACATCCATTATAACTTGAGAGTTGTGTTAACACTTAAAAAAAAGTCTTAGGATGGTGTAATAAAAAGATAGCTAAAAATCCTAGCATTTTCCCTTAGAAAAGATTCACCTTTTTGTATGTTTATTTTATATACACTGAATTTACTTGTACAACCTAGGGGCCAGTCATATAGGGTAATGAATTTAAAGCCATCAGGTCCGCAGAGGTCATCTAGTGCAATATCCTTTTTTTTTATTTGTGAAGGCACTCTGTTGCATTAGAAAGAGTGATGCGGGGTAGGTAGGGGCGCAGTAGATAGAGCACTGGCCCTGGATTCAGGAGGAACCTAGTTCAAATCTGGCCTCAGACACATAACACTTACTAGCTGTGTGACCCTGGGCAAGTCACTTAACTCCATTGCCTAGCCGAAAGAAAGAAAGAAAGAAAGAAAGAAAGAAAGAAAGAAAGAAAGAAAGAAAGAAAGAAAGAAAGAAAGAAAGAAAGAAAGAAAGAAAGAAAGAAAGAAAGAAAGAGTGATGGATTTGCAGTCAAATGACCTGGGTTCAGCTTGGGCAGTCAGGTGGTACAGCACATAGAGAACTGGGCCAAGAGTCAGGAAGACCTGAGTTCAAATTTGGCTTCAGACACTTACTAGCTATATGACCCTGGGCAAGTCACTTACCCTGTTTGCCTAAGTTTCCTCATCTGAAAAATGGACTGGAGAAGGAAATGGCAAACCACTCCAGTATCTCTGCCAAGAAAACCCTAAATGGGGTCACTAAGAGTCAGATACAGCTGAACAACAACAACAAAGACATGGATTCAGATCCTTCCTCTGTCAGAGATCTTTCCATCTATGATCCTATGACACTGAGGTTCAGGGAGTTTTTTCTAGTCCTAGATATTAGACTCCAAACACTGAGTTCTTTCCATTGCCCTAAAAATCTTTGTAATCCATGGTAGGCTCATTTCAAAGCTGCCAATGCTAACCAGTTGATTTCCATTTCAGTAGGATTTCTCATAGTGCACGGAAAGTTGTGTGTGTGTGTGTATGTGTGTGTGAGCAGTGATTAAAGTATTTTGTCAAATCTGTTAGCTAGAACAATCATGGAAGACTGTTTCTGTAGTGATTTAAGCAGTCCTCAATTTTCCCAAATGAGTCCCAGACCTTTCTGAGTTGGGAGGACATGCTTCCTTACTGAAAATGTTGGCCTCATCATGCCTTTTTTATTGTTGATTCCTTTCAATTGTGGTTGACTCTTCATGACCCCATTTGGGGTTTTCTTGGCAGAGATACTGGGATGATTTGCATTTCCTTCTCTGCCTCATTTTATAGATGGGGAAACTGAGGCAAACAAGGTTAAGTGACTTGCCTAGGGTCACACAGTTAGCAAATGTCTGATGCCAGATTTGAACTCAAGAAGAGAAATCTTCCTGACTTCAAACCTGGCATTCTATCTACTGAGCCTCCTAGATGCCCCACAATCATACTTCCACTCTTCAATTATGAAATACTTATTAGGTATTTGGGAGGGACTATGAAAGATATAAAAAATACCACTGATTTCAACACACTTAGAAGCTAGTACAATGTCTTTCACCCACTAGGTACTTTGTGTTTGTTGCCCTGACTTGATTAATGGAGTATGCCCAGTTTAGTCATTTTGAGGGAATAGTTCCAAATTGCTTCCCAGAATAATTATTGTTATTGTTCAGTCATTTCAGATGCATCTAACTTTCTGTGACCCCATTTGAGGTTTTCTTGGCAAAGATAGTGGACTGATTTGCCATCTCCTTCTCTAGCTTATTTTACAGATGAGGAAACTGAGGCAAACAGGGTTAAGTGATTTCCCCAGGATCACACAGCTATTAAGTGTCTGAAGTTGGATTCAAACTCAGGTCTTCTTAATTCCAGGACTAGTGCTCTATCCACTATGCCACCTAGCTACCCCAGAATGATTGCACCAATTCATAACTCTACCAGTAATGCATTAATGTACCTGGTTTTCCAAAGTACCTCCAATGTTTTCTATTTTCCTTTTTTTGTCAACTTTGACAATTGGAACCGTTATTTATTTTGGGTTGTTCTTTTTCTAGTAAGGTTAGTGAGGGAGAAATAAATGCTTATTCAAAAAATTGTTTTAAAAGAAAAGCACTAAATCAGAAAAAAAATAATAGGGGAGCTCAGTTACTTCCAACACAAAACAGACAACGCTATAAACATCTTGTCTAGTCAAGTATCTTAAGTGGTAGAGTAATTCGAAGAAAGGGAAACTTACTGGTAATCCTTTGGTGTCGAAGTACCTGGTTCATTAAAAAAGGACTTAGAGTATTCTGCTTTCTTAGAGACATTTCAGGTGCTCACTATCAGCCATTGAAATGGAATCCTAGCCTAGGCTTTACTAAATGTCCCAGTGAATCCCACTTGCCTACCTCCCTCTCATTTTCCCTCCTCTCTTTCCCTCCTCCCTCTCCTCTTTCTCATAAATAATTTTGTGAAGCACTTTCAGGTTTGCAAAGTGTTTTTCGTGTATTATTACAAAGCAAAATGCATTTTACTTGTCCAAATATTGTGCCAAGATTTGTTTTGTTTGCTGGAGGAGGGTGTTTGGGGGATAGGAGAAAGTGAGGAAGGAGGAGTTTTATTTTTTTGTTTTGAATCCTGGGGGAGAATGGAAAATAAAAGTTACAATATAGTATAAATCACCTCCAGACTCCTGTTCCAATTGGGAATTACATGCTCAGCCAGCTGACATCTTACTGATTTCAATTACTCCTAATTCTCCTGCAGAGGTAAACTGCTACCCATAACTGGGAACTGACTGTTTGTATTTAGTCAGCCCTCCTCCTTATGTGCAAACCCAGCTCCCTGAGCAATCAAATACCAAAATGTGCTGGGCACTGGTGAATTCAAATTCATGTGCACTTTTATAGAGGAGTATTTTATTAACAAGTCTGTGTGATTGGAGTGACTCAGTTGAAACTTTATCTCTTTGTTACAAAATCTCTCCTCTTTTTCTTTGGAAAAGGTCACTCTGTGTCTCCGCCTATGTCATTTTTTCTGGGCCTCTCTGAATTATTTAATTGATAGCTAGCATTTCTATAGCTCTTTAACAGTGTCAAGGCACTTTATTATGTACCTCACAACAACTCTGTAAAGTAGGTGTTCTAATTAACTCTGTTTTACTTATGGGGAGCCATTAAGACCCAAAGTGAGCCTCAGGCTGGGGCCTTTTGAATGGGTGTTGCCTCAGACAAACTGAGACCTGGGAAAAACCTTAGCTTAAAAAGGCCAAGGTCTCCCACTGCATTCTGGCCATTTCCGGTTGTCCTGACCTGTCTTGCCACTGCACTCTGATGACTGGAGGAGAGATAACTTTGCACAACTCTGCTTCACTTAAAGCCAATTCATTCACAAGTCAAGACGTTACCTTCCCGATGTCATTGGTCCTCTTCTAGAACGAAGGTTGAAAAACAACTTAAGGGGAAAGTGAGGCTAAGAGAGATGAAGAGAAATTTGCCTAGGGTCACACAGCTAGGGAGTGTCTAAGTTAGGATTCACATCCATGACTTCCTGACTCTCCAAAATGTCACCTAGCCACCTCTCAGTTAAACTAGATGGCACCTCTAATAGGCTGTGGTACCTTTCTGTAAAACAAATCTAAAATTGTTTTGTCTCACATCGAAGGATCTTTAAAACATTCATTATTCTAAATTTGATTATTTGATGTGAAAGGGGCAGCATGGGATGCATAGAGGGTCAACCTGGAATACTAGAAGACTTAGGTTTTGTCTTGTCCACTACCTCTGATCCTGCTTCACTGAGATTATGGATAAATCATATAATCTCTCTGTGTTCCCAGAAAACCCTTCAAGATTATAAATTGAATAAAATTTTCTAATCTGCGTTAATGGAGGGGATTTCTGCCTTAGGAGTTCTGAATGCAACCACAAGTTTGGTTGCTCCCCCCGCCCCCAGCCCCATGTGTTTGTGAACCTATTTTCAAGGCAGTAGTTGATAGAATGCTAGCCTGGTAGTTTAGTCTTAAAGTCTAGCTTTGGGAACTTATGGGTAGGAGAGAGAAATGAGAGGGGAAGAGTAGTTTATCATGGAAAGGAAAGAGAGAAGAGGTATGAATTTTGCTTAAATCTATATACAGCTGTATCCAGGGCCAGTTTTGGGCCATTCTGCCTGGCAAGGTTTTTAGCCCCTGCACAGATTTCCTTATCTGTTGACTAGGAAAAAAAAATAGATTCTCTCTTGCTTGGCAACTTCAGCTGTTATTCTGGGCCCAATCCTGTGTATTTATTACTTTTCAGTTCTCTCCTTAATGATACTTTCTTCTCTATCTATGGTATGTACATAGATTTGTGAAACAGATTTTGGAAATCCCAGTCATCTAAAATGAAAGGCATCACGTTGGAAAGATCCTTTGAGAGAAATGCTACCCTAGTTCCTATAGTAGCCATACAGAAAACTCTAATATGAGCCCTTAAAGAGAACATTTCACAGTTGTGTTTTCAGTGATAACATATTGCTTGCCGAGAACACCTCCCTGGCCATCCATTTCATCTTCCTACTTTTGCAGTATGCCTCTACTTTGTGATCTAAAATGGACTTTTCTTCCTAATACTGCAAGTAAGCTTGGTAATTGGGCAGCAGTCAGAGCAGTAAGGAAAGTATCTCTCTCTCTCTCTCTCTCTCTCTCTCACACACACACACACACACCAAAAGCAGAAACAACAACACAGGAAAACACAGTTCAAACTAAGTAACATCTTTATTCAAATAAGTTAATTCTCTCACAAACCTCACAGATACTAATAAATATTTGGCCAACAAATGTGCTTTTTTCCACTGTTTGAACTTCATTCAACATTACCTTCTTCAACAATCTTTAAACTATATCCTGATATAATAGAATTAAAAGAAATGTAAAACTCAACCCCCTTAACTTTTTTGGGTGGTAAAAGTTCTTTGATACCTAACAAAAGATGACAGAAAATAACCATATTGCACAGACCATGGGCCATGTAGGGAGCCCAATAACACCTTAGATTTGGGAAATGTTGGAAAGAAAACCTGCAGTACTGGATATGTTTGTTTTGCCAACACAAATTTTCTGGATGTTCCATGGAGAGATCAAATATGTCAAATCTCATACTGTAAGTGACCCACCTAGGTGCTACAGAAATATTTAGTACAATTTCTGAGTAAAAAGAGGTGTTGTTTGAAAGGTGGGAAAACAAAAGAAATAGTCAAGGAGAAAATAAGGAAGAAATGGGGGCACACCTTCCTGTCCAAAACTGAACATGAAATATCTAGAAAGTTCTATGTAAAGAGGACCTCATTTATAGAAAACAAAAATGAGGAATGTTTCTCAAGACAAAACAAACAAACAAACAAATGAACCCTGTTCTATGAGATCAGCACTGAAGGGTTGTTTGAATCAAGAGATCATTCCTGTTTAATTTTTCTTTTAGGTGACACATTTGTTTGACAATGGAGGGACAGTCTTCTTTGCTATTTTTATGGCAATATGGGGTGAGTATTCCTTAATGCCTTCTCTTCTTTCTGTGGGAAATTCATGGGGTCATAGAAACTCAGATGAAAATGTATCCCTTTGTCAGTATTCATGAACAGTTCAACAGTGAATTTGAGTCTAGGCTTGTGGTTGGCTTCTTTGTGCCATCTATCTTAAAGGCAGCTTTTATAAATTAATTTTTTTTATCTAACCCCAGTGTCCTTATTGCTACAGGTTAACTTTTTTCCCTTGGCCCTTCCCCCAAACCCTCAAAAAGGTATGCTGTGACCTCAATGCAGATGGAAAGATGTAAGAGTTCTTTTCTGGATTTATTTTTCCTTATCACTGACCAACTCTAAAAAGGAGAAAGTGAAAGGTCAGTCTTTTTTGTGCATATATGGGAGTGATCTTTACATTCCTTATTTTTCCAGACCTGGTCTATTTAAAGAGATCACAGTATGTGGACCCAATGCCAACATTCCATTCCATACCCAGGCTAACAATAATAATCTAACAAGCAATACTATTCCACTCAGGAGTTCCATTTTGTGTTATTGGAAAGAGTGCAAACTATTTCAGTTTTTGCTTATATTCTCATATACCCATGTGAGAAGGGCTTCCTGGTTCCTTCTCAGGATTCCTACATCTTGTAATTTGTATAGAAAAAAACTTTGCTATAAACCCGTACGGTCTTCAGCAAATTAGAATTTCTTAGGTCATTGGCATTGCTTTTTCCAGACACGTAATATTTCTTTTCTTGATAAGGTCATTTCCACCATGTCCCTGCCTCCCCCAACCAGCAATCTCTCCCCAGAAAACTGCAGGTTCATTTCCAAGGGCTGTAAAGTTTTGGGGACAGTGGAACAGCATATGTGGGAAAGGCAAGGGAGCAGAAAACTGTTCCTCTTATGGTCTTCATTTTCTAATAGCTCACATAGTGTACCAAATTCTCACCAGACCAAAGGATCATGTAGGATGATCAGGCTAGTGACAGGTCATAAATTCAGCAAAAAACAAATATCACATCTCCTTTTAAAAGAAGGCAGAATTGGTAGTGAAACTAGAGAACTGTGTTGAATTGGGAGTGTGGAAGAGAAGAGAGATTGGTAAGAATTCTGGAATAATTTATATCTGATAAAAATGTCTTCCAATCCTAGGAGCCCTTGAGTTTGGGTTATCTACTCACATTGAGCAGGGTCTTAGGTAATCACCTGGCTTGATATGCTGGCAATATGGAGGCCTTTAGCTTTTCTTCAGTAAATATTTGTCCTTTTTAAGGAAGGCTAGGCTCAGCATAAAATACATCTTAAAATAGAGGATTCCTTTGAGAGAAAATAATCAAATACAAACAAGACCTGTGAGTGGCATGTAGCTAGCTTACTGTGTGATTTACATTCTTCATCAATGTATCTCCATTGGTCTGACGATTTAAAATCTGCTTCGTGTCTACGTGACTGTCATCTCCTGGACATCTCAAGGATTTGACACAGTCCTGGGCATGAAATGGGACTCTGTAGTCTGAAGCCCTATTCCCCATGGTTTATTTAAAGTATAGGCTGTAGGGATAGTCTTCAGTTGAATGTTTTCTCCTGTCCTTTCCGTGTTCTTCTCCATGACTGGGTCATCAGGGACAGCGGAGTTGAAGAAGCTGGCGCCTCCAAAACTTAGATTGTAAGTGTCAGTTGTATTGTCTAATCGTTGAACTGAAATAACAGAAACAATGTGAAACAGTCTTACGAAACTAGCAGTGACAGGGTTAATCCTGCTCAGAACTACTTGCATCCTGCTTGAGGTAGGAAATTATTCAGGACTACAGGACTCACAGGAGGTCTGTAAGCTCATCTATCTGGGGGCTATTTCCTCGAGTAATATGAATTATAACCTGTCCAAATACGTCTGTATGTAACGTTACACTGTGTATATGTGTGTACATGTATATGGACATGGTTACACATATGTGGGTTGTGTGCACATGTATGTGTGTGAGTACATGGGTTGTAGACACTGCACATGTATACTATGTGTACATTTGCATGAATGTGTATTGCATATTACGTGTTCGTGTCTACCTTATGTGTATATATTTATATACATATATGTATAGGGGTATGCATATATGTATATACACACCGGAGTGTATTGTGTATATACGCACTTATAAAATTGACACATATACATATTGTGGCATAGAGGTAGTGCTCTGGACTTTTCTGTGTTTTGTGTATATACAAATGCCTATATATGTGCACATATATGTAGACTATGCCACATACATACAAACTATGTACATCTATGTATGCGTGTGCATGTATTTATATCTCAATATTCACATGTATATTTATATTAGGACGTATACATGTACATTTACATACATATACACACATATATTTTTGGATGGGGATAGTGTTCGGTGCTTGTATGTGTATACATATATGTACGCATACATGTGTGCATGCATGTTTGTGATTATGTTGCCTGTTCTGCATATGTTTGTATGTTAAATGTGTTCTATATGTGTTTCTGTATATTCTATGTATGCTTTATATATGTATATATGCATATATTTCTTTATAAATATACACGTTTGCGTGTATCAGTTGGAATGATTGGCCAATAATGGGTCCCACCCCAAGCCTCACTTGCCCATAGTTTGGGCTTTGATGGCTTAGAGTGAGTGTAAATAGCAATTGTTTCTGTTCTGGCCAGAAACTCTGAGGGGCTTCCTCTCCCAGACTGATTCTTTTATGAAGGCAAACTAGGCCATCTTTTGTCTCAAATCTTATCTAGCCTTTAATTACTGTCTGGCCATTGCCTAAGACAAACTGAGACCTGGTAAAGACCTTAGCTTTAACAGGCTAAGGTCTCCCACTGCATCTGGAGTCATGTCTTATCATTCTGATCTATGTCTTTACCACTGGACTCTGATGACTCTGGAGGAGAGAGTGAGGTTGATGACTTTGCACAGCTCTGCCTCCCTTAAATCCAATTCACTTGCAAGTCAAGACATCACCCTCCTGATGTCATTGGTCCTCTTTGAGAATGAAAGACAAACAACAATCTGTACGTAGTAGCTGCCCCACTGGGGACCCAACTGGCCATTTCCACTAGAACACCACTTTTTCCTCCCTTCCTTCCTCCCCGCCTCCCTTCTTCCCTTTCTCCCTTCCTCCCTTCCTCTGTCTACATGGAGAATCATATCCTTACATGTGGGTGCTCTCTGCTCAAAGGAATATAAATTTTGATCATTGAAATCTCGCATGATATCTTGGTGTTTAGGGGTTAAATTTTTTTCCTCTTCCCTACTTACTTATTCTATCTTAAAAAAAAAAATAGAGAAAGAAACTGGGACAATTAACTCTTTTGTCCCATATAGTTTCATTTACGATTTCTTGAAATAGAGCTCTGGAAAACCAGGCTTTGACGAAGCCCATCAGAATTCAAATAGAGCCACTTGCCGTGCCTTAAACCCAAATCATTCTGGCTTTCATGGACTGGCCAAAAATAGGTCTCAGCCCAAGTCTTGGTTATTGTTTTGGTTTTGATGGGTCAGAGTGAGTGCAAATAGCAATTGTTTCTGTTCTGACCAGAGACCCTGAGGGCTTTCTCCTTCCAGGTTTTTTTTTTTTGTTTGTTTGTTTTTTGAGTAGGCAAAGTAGGCCATCTTTTGCTTCATTTCTTACCTAGCCTTAAATCACTGAATGGGTGTTGCCTCAGACGAACTGAGACCTGGGAAAGACCTCACCTTAGAAAGGCCAAGGTCTCCCACTGCATATGGGGTCATCTCCAGTAAGAATGTTGATTCTTTGAGGACCCCAACTCAAACTCTAATCACTATTAGTTCGTTCACTGTGATTCCATAGGGGTAGTGATTATAAATTCTGTATATTTCACCCCAGAGCTATGAGCAGCAGATTGTGAGTTTACTTGCTTAATCATAGGAAATTAACCAGATGCCCTCCAACCTCATTTTTCCTTGTCATGGTGACAAAGCCCAGTGTGACAGAGGTGACTTAACTACATGGAAAGTCCCCCAAATTTATTTTTGTACCTCCAGACTATTCTCTCTTGTCCAACATGATCAGCTGTCCATTTTATGACCATCTTGTGACCATCTAGTCAGTGGAGATGCGGTATGTTTCACCCATCTTATGAACACCTAGTCAATGGATATATTCCTTGCCTCACCCAACTCATAACCCTGGTGACAGATCATCTTTAACCTATGCATCATATGTCAACCAATGGAATTATTCTGTATTTGGTGTAACTATTCTTGAATGTTTAGATACCTAACCCTATAAAATAAGGCCCTGGAAAGAGGGGTCATCTCAGATCTTGAGGAAGATCCGAGGTCCACTTCATTAGAGAGGACCATGGATCCCTTAATAAAGTGTCATTGGCTCAGAGCTCTGCCTTAGTCTCTTTTACTGTAAGTTGAATAATTTTTATTGCCACACCAGTCATCCTGACCTATGTCTTGCCACTGGACTCCGATAACTCTGGAGGAAGGATTGAGGCTGATGACTTTGCACAGCCTTGACTCATTTAAATCCAATTCACTTGCAAGTCAAGACATCACCCTCCTGATGTCATTGGTCCTTTTTGAGGATGAAAGACAAATAACAACAGTATATGAACTGTGTTCTAGATATCTTTGTGTGCGTCCTATATGTATTCTATATGTGTGTTCTATATATGTATACATAAACATACAGGTTTGCATATATGAATTGGAATATATGTGTGTATTTGTGTGTATTTGCATATACTTATATACACATGCATGCGTATTGCAGCATAGAGATAGTGCTCCAAATTTGTGTGTGGATATATGTGTGTGTACACATATATGTATATGTGTATGCTTGTGTACACATAAATATGTCTACACCCATTGGAATGGATATATGTGTCTTTATGCATTTGTCTTTGTGTGTGTATAAATGTGAATACACATGCACACATGCATATACTCATACACTTTATGTTGTTGCATGAGGGTTAGAACACTGGCCTTAAA